TTTTTTGAATGTGGTAAAATCAGAATCAAGCATCTCACATTGCACAACTTGATGATGTTTGCCCAATATTAGGTTCCTTGTGGATTCGTGTTCATTCACATTCATGTGGAATGTAGCACAGTTTAATCATCCTCTCCTGTCAGTGGACATTGGGGTGTTCCCAGTGGATTGCATTACAGACAAAGTTGCCATGAGCATCCTCACACAAGCCTCCTAGTGCACCTGGAGTCTTCTCTAAGCAGAGGCTGTTAAACCTTTTTAACCAAGATCCACGGTAAGAAATACATTTTATAAGGTACCAGGATATATAGAGACTTCAGGCATATAAATGAAAGTCTTGCCAAAATCTAGACGAGATACACTCTGATAAATTCTGTTCTTTATTTTTTCTAACATATTCACTGTGACCGACTAAATAGAAGTTATCACTGACTAAAGCAGTCTTTCTCAACCTTCCTAATGCCGCGACCCTTTCATACAGTTCCTCATGTTGTGGTGACCCCCAACCATAAAATTATTTTCGTTGCTACTTCATAAGTGTAATTTTGCTACTGACAATATGTAGTAATTATATATAGACGAGATACACTCTGATAAATTCTGTTCTTTATTTTTTCTAACATACTGATTGTGACCGACTAAACTGAAGTTATCACTGACTAAAGGGTCACCAACCAGAGTTGTTGGGTTGTATGGTATTGTTAGGCAGGATACATGGCTGCTAGGGCAGGAGGAGGGGAAGGGGGTAGGGAAAGAGGGAGTTTTTCTCACCCACGGAATGAAGAAGTCAGCAATCTTGGGACTTGCCAAGATAAAATTGCCAAATGTTCTCATAAACTTGGGGGAAAGCCACAACAATGTAAAAGGGGGACCTGGAAATCTAGTCTGTTGCCCAAGATCCAGCAGGGGAATCTTAAACCTATAAGGGGGGGAAAATATAAAACCCTTGAACCCCCACCAGGCGGGGCACTGAGACTAGCTGAGTTGCCAACTTGTGCTTTATGCCAAGTGTATTTTTAATAAATGTTCTTGCTTTGCTTCAACACTGCTTTTTGTTACTCATCTGAATTCTTTCTCAAAAGCCTGACAAGAGCCGGGGTGGGGTTAGGTGGGGGAGAACCCTCTCCAATGCAAGCAGCTCTGTGGTAACAGTATGACCTTCTTCAACTTTATTAGAGAAAGAATGCACAATTAAGTTTCCCACGGGCAGTACACCAGAGTCACAATTGTTCAACATCTTTTTAAATATTTGTCAACATGGCAGTAATAGCATGGGATCTTTTTCACATTTCTATGTTTATTTGACATTTGTATTTACTCCCGTAAGCTCTGAGGATGTTTCCAGAAGAAATTAGCATTTAAATTAATAGACTGAGTAAAGAAGGTGACTCACCAGTGTGGGCAGGCATCATCCAATCCATTGAGGGTCCAAACAGAACAAAAAAGGTGGAGAAAAGGTTAACTCTCTCTTCTTGACCTGGGACATCATACTTCCTGTTTCTCAAGACTTTGAACTCCAGAGTTGACACCAATGGCCTTAACACCTTATTTGCAGTCCTTTAGCCTCTCAACAAATTAACCACTGGCTTTTCTGGCCCACTGCTTGCAAATGACAGATTGTAAGACTTCTCGGCCTCCATAACCATGTGAGCCAATTCATGTAATAAATCTCATATATCCATATCTGTATCTATGGCTATATCCTATCGGTTCTTTTTCTCTGGAGAACCCTAACACATTGCCCTTTGCATTTATTAAAAAACAAAATTCAACCTAGTAAATTTGAAGATCTACTTGGCTTTATTAAGGAACTAATGAATCGGGCAACATCTCATCCAGCAAGTACAAGGGCAATGTTAACATAAAAACATTCAAACCTGTAAAGATTTTTGTGAGTTTATTTGAGCCCAACCGTCAACAATTGTCGGGAAGCAGATTCTCAACGGACTGGGATAGTGCTCCAGATAATGACCGTTTTTCATCTATTTTTATACATTGCCATCAAAGGAGGGGACATGGGAGGGTTACAAGAAATCCACTGGTGATAGATTAGGGAGGCGGGAGAAAGCAAAGTGGGGAACCTCTGGGATTGGATAAAAAGTAAAAGATAGACACATACTTAGGTGAGTGCAGTAACAATTAACATAACAATGAAGGAATCCATGGTATCTATCCTGGCACCCACGCACATTTGGTTGTGCCCTGAGGGATCCAGAAAAAGGGAAGTTACAAGTTACCCAGACATTTCAAGGACATGTTAGCAGAGATGCAGAAAGACAGATAGGCTCAGTTAAGGTAAAGGTTGACCTTATCAGTGAAGATACCAGCCTAGGAGGTGACTACCCACCATAACTGCTTTTAGTTAAAGTTTAATTTCAGACCATCCCTGTGGTGACTTTAGGTCTCTGAGTTTGCCAGACTGCCACGCAGGCCTCCCCTGAGCTTGTCAGGTTAGCATGTGGCCCCTTTCGACCACAGCACTCTGAGGGGTTGTACAAAATGAAAGGTGTTTTATAGGTAAAAGGGTAGGGCACGAGAGCTCTTAACCAAAGAAAAGAAAGGATTATATTTTAGATCAGGACCTGGTTTTGGGGGAGAGAAAGGGAACAGCAAGGCTTTTTATCATGCAGGTTGCCTCTTCTTTCTATGGGGAGGAGGACGGGGAATGAGCCTGCAGGACAGATTGCTTTACTGGTGCCCGACCAGAAAATTCCAAATTGGTTGATTAAGATTCAATTTCCGGAAGAGGTTGAGACCACAAACAAATCAGGTATTAAATCTAGGGTCGGTATCATGGGATTTTAGCATAAGCCATGCCATTTGGGCCTATAGTTTTCTCCGTTCTGTGTGTCAATGTAGGAAACATTCAAACTTGTAAGAATTGTTATGAGTTTATTTCATCCAAACTGATAACAATTGCTGAGAAGCAAAATCTCATCAGATTGAAAAAATGCTCTAGAAAATGGCAGTTTTACCACTTATTTTATACATCAGAGAGAGAGGAAAGGAATGAGAGAAACATCAATTTGTTGTTTCACTTAATTGATTGGTTCATTGGTTGATTATTGTATGTGATTTGACCAGGGGTCAAACTCGAAACCTTGGCATATCAGGACAACACTCTAACCAACATAGCCACCTGACCAAGGCTAATGTTTGTGTTTTACTTGGCAAGTTTAACCCATTTACATTTATGGTGATTACCAATATATCTGGAATTGGTTCTTCCATCTTATTTGGTTATTTCTACACATTCCAGTATTTTATGCAATTTGTTAATTTAATTTTTAATTGAACTGGGTGTTTTTGTTTTGCTTTCTTGTGTTTTGAGAATGGAGAGAATAAAATGGAATAAACATTGCTGAGAGAGTCACTGAAAATGTAGGGAGTTGAGCCGGGCTGGTGTTGCTCAGTTGGTTGAATGTCCTGTGCACAAAAAGTTGCATTAGATTCCCAGTCAGGGCACATACCCAGGTTTCGGGCTCTATCCCGAGATGTGTGCCCAGCAGGAAAAAGCTGGCACGGAGCCACCTGTAAGTCCTGAGGAAGGGAAAGGGTGCCTGAGCTCCTCTGTTACATCAGCAACCAGGGAAGAACCAGGAGCCTTACTAACTAAGATTCTTTACTAACCACAGGGCTAGTCACACACAGACCCTGCAATGCTTCCCCACTAAGGGACACTGATTACCAGAAAGAGTGTCTGTCCTCTCTCCATCCTGATCAAAGATTCATCTCAAGAGTCTCAAAGCAATTGGATAGTTTCCACAGCAGGAGGTTCAGCAGCGACTCAACCTCCTCTTTTCTATGTGTCCCTTCCATTTGATATCAAACAACCATGGAAGATTATGTACTCTAGTCGTAACTTTTAGTGTCAAATGTACCTTCACTTTATTTTCTGTCTACATAAGTCCCTCTCTCTCCCCCCAAGTCAGAGCACTGTTTCAAGGCCCGCCCTCAACAAGTCTTCAATAAAACTCTTTTCTGAAGTTTACAGAGTCTGTTTTCTTTTCTTTGACAGTCTCGTTCAGGATTCCAACAGACACATGGTCCCTGACAGCCAGGGCTGACAAAGGAAACATTCGCAGCACTAGTAGAGTGTCTCTGAGGAACCCACAAAAGCCCCTTTTTAGAGAAATGGTCACTTTGAACACCTTATAAGCCAGTGATGGCAAACCTATGACACGTGTGTCAGAGGTGACACGCGAACTCATTTTTT